GAGAGGAGGGAAGGCGGAGACATCGCAGTCGGAGCCGCGATCGGGATCGCGACGGGCGTCACAGACACAGGGATGACGAGAGGCGGCACGAGAGGCCACGACGGACGGATGAGAGGCGGAGGAGCCGCAGCCCTGATCGCGAAAGGCGGCGACACCGTGACGGCGATCGAGATGAGGATTCTTCTCGGCGACACAGACGAGACAGAGACCGCAGCCGCAGCCGCGACGGCGGCCGAGACAGGCAGCGGGAGAGGCGAGACCACCAGAGGAGCAGGAGCAGGAGTCGCGAGCACCACCGGCAACGACCAAGAGAGCATCAACAAAGCTCGAAAGCGCGGGATCAGTAAGAAGGTCTTTTTCGAATGATCGTTACGTAAAGCAGTTCACCACCTAAATGCTGGCCCAATTCCACAGGAAACAAGATGAAGAAGCAAGATTCAATATACCCAGGTCTCGGGCACCCACCCAACGCCATCCCATTCCCTCTTTTTGACCTTTCTCATGACAAACCAAACGCCCGCTCCAAAGTGACCGTGACGTGCCTACAAACTGTAGGAAGTGACATAATACTGCTTCAAGTCAGCTTGGAAATTGGCACTTCAGGTAAGAAAGGGGAGCACATACCGTGACAACAGAATCATCCGCCCCCGAGTCGTCATACTGCGGCACGTACACATAGAGAATGAGCGCGTGATCATCGGCAAAACACGCAATGACGCGCCCCTCGAGCCGCCCAACACTGAGCACCCTACTCCAGTCTTTACCGTCGACGCGCACCGTCGCCCATTTGTCGGGCCCCGCCTCCCGGAACCGCGCGCTCGGGTGCTCCTCGATGGGGCCCTGGATCTGGGCCGGGTCGAGCTGCGGGTTCTCGAGCCCGGTCCAGGTGCTCGAAATGTCGACGGCCTCGGAGGCGATGCGCAGGCGCAGGGCGCCGTGCATGTTGGCGCTGAGCTCGAGCTTAGGCCCGCCGGCGCGCGACGCGGCGGGGCCCGACGCGAGGGCGAGCTTGGTGAAGCGGTCGGAGATGGCCTTGAGCTGGAGCAGCGGCGGCAGCTGGATGTGGACGTCTGGCTCGCGGACCTTGGGCTGCATGATCGTCTCGACGGTCTCCGGATGGAGCACGCGGACGGGTATGTCCTGCGTGATGATTTTCTCGCGTTCACGGCGCAGCGACGTCTCGAGGTGCTCTTGCGGCAGGTCGTCATCAAAGGGGTCATCGTCGAGAGAGGCGGCGCGGTGGGCGGCGGCCGCTGAGGGGGCTGAGGCGTCCGTCGTCGTCGTGATGGTCATGGAAAGAACGGGGACACCTTCTTTCTTGGTGAGGCGGAGAGAGGCGGATGTGCTGTTCAGGGCGGACTTGAGGGCCCGTTGGAGGGGCTGCAGGGGCAGCTCTAGGTTGATCGTGTTGTTGGCTTCGGCAGACTGGATGTGGTAGTTCTCAAACATGAAGTCCATGGAGAGGGAGCTGTCGACTGTCAGCTGCCTGCAGTCATCCATTGGAAACATTTTCTCGTATGCTCACGCCCAGACTTGAGACCCCGTATCCGGGATGACGGTGAAGCGTGCCGTGTCATCGTCGAGGCGCACCCATGCGATCTTCTCGAGAGAGTTGAGGGCGGCAGTCAGTTCTGAGAGGTTAGTTTGGTTGTGATCGGAAGCGGGAAGCAAACATACTCGAAAAGGTGCGAATATTTTTGAGCTCCGTCTTGAATCGCATGGTGAAGACTCGTAGACGTCGTGGCCGGTGAGATGCGTTGGCAAGGCGCGGTCACGATGATGACTCGGAGGGTGGATGAGGTATCGTGAAAGCGAGCAAGAGGGTTGAGGCGCGAGGCAGCATGGCCGATAGAAGACGGTGGGTATCTTAGTGAGTGCGGGGCTGAATTATAGGGGAGAGCGCTGGAACATCCACTAAGTGCACACTGACCTGACTCTTCTGAGCCCCCCTGACACACTCAGCAACATCTTCTACCCCAGATGGCATTTCTGTCTAACCCCCTCTCATCTTCTGCAGCCCATCGCACAATCTACCCTTCGGTCTCGTTGACGGTGGTGAGCCCCATAGCCTCAATCTCGTTGTCGTTTTTTTTTATTGATTCCCATCTTTCCATATTCTCACCCAAACGTCCGATATAGGCCCTCCCGAGTGCGACCCCTCTAGGGCGAGTGTGAATCCAGCATCTGTGATTGAGCTCCCGTGGACAACTCGCTATACCCTCACATTGCTGAGCGGCACTTTCAAATTCACATTGATGGATGAGTGCCTGGAGTGAATGCAAAGATAGATTTCCCAGTGATATAAGTGGACAACGAGCAGATATGTCTGCGTGGTGGCTGCTCTGGCACAAACCATTTCATCAGCGTTCAGTGACATCACCACAAAGAAAGGGGTGCACACCCTGTTACTCATGATAACTATCAGTATGACCTGACGCCCATACCATTCTTATAAACACCGTGCTAGTGTCATGACGACGCTACGCCACCTGTATTATCGTTGAAGCTACTCTCGTAACTATAATGCATCCTCTCCCATGTTTCTGCCACGCACCCCTTTTCAGATGCCATCAGCTGCGTCTGCCTCTGAATTCTGCTTCCAACTCCCATCTGTCTTGTGGCTAACGACAGCTCCCAGCTCTATATCAGTATTACCATATTAGTGTCTAAATATTAGCCGCAATAGCTCTAAAAAATGATGCTGCACAAAAGAAAACGACCAATGTATATGATGGCCCACCGACGATGATACGGTTCCTCACTTGCTCCTCGCTGGTCCCCTCTTTGGAGGCCACAAGACGTCTCCATCCATGAGAGCTTCGTCCAGCCTCTCGGTGTACCAGTGTCTCCACACATCATCACGATAGTCCCTCTCGACGCGTGCTCTGACGAGTATGGCCTGCAGGACCGACGCCTTGCGGTCCCGAAGTAGTCGCATGACCTTTTTGCTCCGGCGCTCCATGCGCTCTCGGAACCCGGCCTTGTACCACTCCTGGCAGAACTCGCAGGGCCCGGGCAGCGGCCGCCGCGGCTCGGCGGCGTACCAGGCGACCTCCTTCCTGCTGAAGGGCGCGGGGCTCGGCACGGCGAGGTGGCCGCATTCCCAGTGCAGCAGGCGGCGGCACATGGGGCAGTCGAACTTGGTGACGGTGTCGGCGAAGAGCCAGTTGAGGAGGCACAGGCTGCCGAAGCGGTGACCGCAGGGGAAGTGCAGCCACGACTCAATGGTGCCCTCGGGCTTGACGCGGCCGACCTGCTCGTAGCATATCGAGCAGTCGGCGTCTGTTGTTTCCGTGCTGGCGTTGGGAGGATGAGGGGGGGCGGGGGGTGGCAGGGACCCAGGCCGTCTCGAACTGAGGAGAAAACGGACTGCATGGTGGCGAGAAATATTGTTTTTCTTCCTGTTCGATCTTCTTGTCTCTCTGTGATGTAGTATGTGGTGGCCGGCTGGGGCTTAAAAAGGGGGGTACCGGGGGGGGTTGATTCCGTCGGTTAGGATGACTTTAGCGAGGG